CTTCAAGAAGCTGCACTCAAACTATACAATTTTTTTAATGCTACTGAACGTCTTACTGTATCTCATGTAGAATTAATACTGTGAATATTGTCAGAAGGGTGAWAGGCACTTCAATGCCCAGACATTATTTAAATAAGGGGAAAAAACCATAGACCTTTTACGGCATAGCGAACACGGTGCATTGTGGTCTAGCTTGAGTTCAAACATCTTTTGTTCACCATTTCTTATATGATGTTGCTTGTACTCAAACTAGACCACAATGTATCAGGACCACAAGGTCCAAGGAGTGGTACTTTTAGATGAATAGTCCCCTTCACGGTTCCCTGCGCCATCTTGAAAGGTAGCCGTGCCTTTGCATCGAAGCGAGACGAACGGTGAGCTTGTAATGATAGATACATGTGTGTTGTCCAAGGTGTTAAAAAGGTTCTATCATTGCAATAAGTTCACCGTTCATCTTGCTTCGATGCAAAGACACGGCTACCTTTCAAGATGGCGCAGGGAACTGTGAAGGGGACTATTGATCTCAGTGATCTCAGTGCTCAGAGAAACAGATAGAGAAAACACGTTGGTAGCCCGGGTGTTTGAGCCTGATAAATAGCTCAGTGGATTCCAAGTATTTACGCGCGCTCTTTGATTGGGAATTCCGCAGGACAATATAACTAAGGGAGGCAAAAACCTCTCATAATAGTATTAGCTTTTCATTGTAATATTTATCCACACGCCCCTTGTGGAAATCAGCTTTAGTTGACGGGGCAAGCGTGTTTAAATAAAGTTTTACCTACCTACCTACCTTACCATAATCTCGTCACAACAAGCTGAGTATAAAATTATCGTTTATAAAATTATTTACACAGCTGGAAAGAAATGTCAAGAGCATTGCTCCAGGGCGAAACAACACGCATGCCAATGGAGAAAGACCAGCACACGAGATCGCGCCTCGCTACAGTGATGACGAGRTTACCCTTGCTGTCATACAGGGCGTGGCATCTCTGACGTCACGAACTACTACGCTTGTCGTMGTCATTGGAGGACTGGTAAGTAGTCACGCAAGTGGGTCTGTAGAGGATGACTGTGACAAAGTCACGGTACTCCAGTGCCGTGACATTACCCAATTTAAGATTCTACGACTACAGACAACGGAATACGGATATTTCGCTGAATAGACTGGGTCGAGTCTTTCTGCGCATGCTCTTAGCAGCTTATTTCCTACTCCAGCTTCTATGGTAAGTAATCGAAGTGTTTTACCGTAGTGTTGACAACGAATACCTTTTTGGCTATTTGTTTAGACCGATATAAGCAATTTGTAGTCTGTAGTCATCGATTCTTAGATTGGGTAATATTGCCGTGACCGTGACGGTTGCGTGTCCAAGCACTTTGATTGGATGACCAGTAATCTCGCGTGCTGTGATTGGTTCACAGTATGCCGTGACTATGTCACGAAATCCACTCTAACTTTGAAAAACACACGTTACGGAGATGCTTCCCGTGATATTACCGTTACTGTATCCAAGCATTCTGATTGGTTAAACAAGGTTTTTTATGTTTCAGTTATGGCGCGTGATGGGCTGGAAGGTCATCGTATGCTGCACAGGTCTCTACACAGGACTCTATGTCATTGAACGTCTTCGTTGGACAAACAATGCCAAAGAAAAAGCCTTTAAGAAACAGTTTGGGATGTACGCTTCAGAGAAGCTTCGGTTGGTCATTAGCTATACTAGTCATAACTGTGGGCTTCAAGTACAACAGTAAGTATTATGGTCTCTATTGGAGATTTAACGCGCATGGCAAGAGCGTTTCAGAAACGGCGCGCTCATTGCACTGCTGTTGGAGTAGATCGTTAGCTTGATATTTTTATGGTTTTAGTGATGAAAAGCATATACCTCCATCATAATCATCATCGCCATCGTCATCGTCATCATCATCGTCATCATCACCATCATCATCATTACCATTATCATCATCGCCATCATCATCATTATAATTATCATTATCATTAGCAATATCAACATTGCCACTAATATTATTTTTTCATCAACACCATATCTATCACATAGATTCCCAACGCTACTCGCGAAWAATATACGTGCGCACTTCCGTGTCATTGGTATTCGCTTCAGTGTTGCTTTCCGTTCATACATCCCTGACGAATAACTCAATTATCTGG